AGCGCAGCAGGGAAGGCGGCTGGCCTCGCTGCCTTTGCCGTAGAGCAGAGCCGCCCTCCGTCGGGAGGCCAGCTATATATATTGATATATCACAGTAATTATGTATTTTATTGTCTCTCATGTCATATACAAACTTAAAAACGGGAGGTGAAAGGGCCTCATAAGTGGAATAGCCTAGGGCCTCTTTTCATCTAAATCCGGCCCTGTTTGCATGCCCTGGATGTCTCAAACATCCTCAAGGATAATCTGTGTCCCCAGATTTATGGGTTATAGCTAGCATCTTGAATTGCATTTGGAAACAAATCTAACCATTTCAATGCTTTAACAGTGGTGTACCATTGCTATAATCAGTGGCAGATTAAGGCTCACTGGTGCTCTAAGCACTGACAAATCTTGGTGCCCCCTCCTTTCTACATACTGTACAAATCTTCATTGTTTTTTTTTCTTTCTTTCTCAACTTTGTGATGTCCCCTTGGGCTTGGTGCCCTAAGCACATACTTAGTCTGCCTTAATGGTTAATAGTATTAACCATTAATATTACACCACTGGTTATAATAGGTGTGACAGGTTCTGTGTGAGCCAAAAATTCAAGACAGCCTATATAGAAAGAATTGTAGTAATCCAGATGACAGGTGGCAAGTGTATGAGTTACACGGAATGCCTCTAATTTCAGAATCAATGCCTCTAATTTCAGAAAAGGCAGCAACTGTCGAGAGCTGGTTAAAGGGTGTCTTTGTCACAGCCACCGCCACTTTTACAGTAGCGACCTCCATTCTGTGACCTCCAGAATGACCCAAAGAGCAAGCAAGCAGTGCAATTTTTAAAAATCCGAACTTCATTCACACAAATCCTGGTCTTTTTTGTAGCATGAGTCAATTTTAGAATTGGCAAGGAGACAACGTGAGAATCATATTTATTTCAATTCACTCATTTGAAAGCCAAAAACTATAGAAGTTATACTATTGTACTGAAGACATTAACAAAGAAGACAGAGGTGGAATTTAGGCCCATAATAGGAAGAGAAGAGGTGAACCATGCTACAATCCAGCATCTATAAATGCCATAATCCTGCCCAAAGTCCTTACAAAAATCTCCAGAATTAAAAAGTGTTTTTTAAGAATTATAATTGCAAAAAGATACAAAAATATAGATTAAAAAAGATGCAGAAAATGGAAAAAGATAATGTAGTAATGAAAAATATATAAAGAAGTGACTATCACAAATATAAACAATTTTAGTAATTTATTACCTTCTCTTAGAAGACAATACATTATCTTCTCTATGGGAAGGGAAAATTAATTAAATATGGGAATTAGATATGTAATTAATTAAGTAATTTAATTAAATATAGAAACACTTAAGTGTTCTTCTCCTTTAATTTTAATATTTAATAAATCCCTAAAGCCTTGTCATTTCAGTCCTTCTCAGCAGAAGTCCATTAAGGATTATCAGAAATAACAAAGTATCTATTTTAACATTAATACATTGAATAAACCAACTTTGTATTTCTTATTTTTAACAATCTTGATCTTCAAATGTTTTAGAATGTGATTTCTTTTCATTTTTTTTCTTTGTGCTTTCTAACAAAATTCTTCAAAGCTTTAATAAGCCTCTTTTGTTAATCCAATATAGGAAAATTATCCAGGTCACTCTCTTAGTTTGTTATTTGTATGTTCCTTTTAATTAATAAGACACCAGCAGGTTTCCTCTGTAGTCTAGTGTAGCATCTTTTCCCATATCATTCTTGTAGGTTATCATTATTAAATATACTTTAAAATAGATCTCAATGTTGCCAGGCAAAACCTGTTCCTTTTCCAAACCATTTTTAATGCTATCTAAGAAGCAGACACCCTTAAAATTAGGTCCTAGATCCTTGGTTCAAAAATATATTTCAATATATCCAGTGTTAAAATATTTTGCTTCATTCTGTATTAGTAAGTCACATTTAAGTGTTCATCTCCTTTAATTTTAATATTAAGTTCCCTCTAATTCCCTGTAGTGTCCAATCTTCAAAGTCTCATTCTATCATGCTTTTTAAAAATTAATCCCCCCCCCACTATGGTAAGGTTTATTGTGATAAATTCCAAAATCTTTTCAAATCCAGTTGGACCCTTTTTAAAAAAAATTCCAAATCAAAATTCTAGTTACCCCTTTTCTATTTATTAAAAAAAAGTATGTGTGCATACATGAACTTCTGACATTCCTTTTTTTAAACAATTTTTATTTATTTTTGAACAAAGACAAACATAAAAATAAAAACATCTTCCATTACATTGTAGAAAGTGTGTCAGTTGGTTACAGTATTTCCATGCATCTCTTCCATAGTCATCACCTGCTTTTTTTTAATAA